GCAAAGAAATGACATATAATTGCTAAATTAGACTTTGAAATGGGTTGATTTTTTTGCATATGTTCGTTTATATCGTTAGAATATATCAAATTCTTACAGCTGAGGTTTCGAAAAAATGGAAAAAGGTGCAAACAATGCTACCGGATGTGATCGATTATGGTGTTGAGCAGGGGATTATTCCGAAACGTCAAGATAAGGTTATATCATGAGGGAATCATTACTAATACTATTTAAATTTCCGATAATTTAAATGCTTCATTTTGTTATATCTTAATTTTATTAAATTTTTGAAAGTAATAAAAATATTTATTAAATCCTCCATCTACACATTCCAATAATATCTAGGAAATTAACAAATTTCTATAAGTCATCAAATTGATCAACATTCAAATTTTAATCAGTTAAGAAATAAACAAACAACTGAAAATAATCTAACTTAATTTTAAAAACCTGTAACAACATCCTTTGTCTCATAATTAATCTAATAATTTTATTTACGAATTTTTAGAATTTCCATTTGCTTTGTGTATCATTTAATTTCGTTTGATTCTTATCGAAAAAAGCACTCATCAAACTGTCAACTTTGTGTATAATTGTCATCCTATCGTTGTCTTCTTTTTCTTTTTTTTTTTTCCGTCCTTTTCTTTTTTCCACCCATTGTTATGATTGGTTCAAACAACAACGAAGATAAGAGCGAAGACGCATATACACACATGAATAAAAGAAAATACATCAACTGTAATATAAATTTAAAATTAAAATTAGAAATATATAGCAGTTCAAAAACAAATAATTTAATTTTGACACAAATAAAAAAGACTTGACATTTTCATGGTTTCATTATTGCTTCATTGAAAATGAAAAATTTTTTAAAAACTACCAAGTGTTATATAAAATCCCTTCAAAAAAAAAAAAAAAAAAAAATAGGAAATTAAAGGAGACACAACAATTTACAGTATTCAATAATAATTAATCATAGAAATATGTTTACATTTTTGCAATTTTTTCATTCTTCCTTATTAAAAAAATCAATTTTTGTCAATTCATGTTTGCTATTATTATTGAAGGGTGGTGGAAATGGATTTAGTTTGACAAGTTTGATAAAAGCAGCTGAAGCTGATATTGATCATAATGATAAGCGTCCTGGTGATACACGAATTCATCTACCAACCAATGATATCACTTTAATGCATTCTGCGGTACCATTCCTTCCGTTACCCATTGCTATATTTTGTGCTATAATTAATATTATTATGCCTGGATTAGGTATATAAGTTACATTTCATATTTATTTTAATAATTTGCATTTAATTATTTTAAAATGATACTACAGAGTTGCAAGAATAAAAATTTTAAGCAAATAGTAAAAATAGCAAAAAATGTAAATGAATGGTTTTTCTTTTAACAATATTTTAGTAATATATAAGTATCATTACTAAATTAGATTAGAAAGTATGTTTTGATAAGAATTACAAAATTATTGTGCAATTATATCATACGGGGATTTATACTTCCTCTGATAGATTGAATAAACTTACCAATAAATAGAGCATCCATCCAAAAAATTCGACAATAATTGAACTGTTTCACTTATTGTATCACTAACAATTTGATATCTTCAAATCAACAGTGTATATTGCAAATTTAACTCGAAATGTGCAAGAACAGATCATTACTATGTCTCGAAATTTGATAAGATGATATGATAAGACACTCAATTTTGTTCTTTTGATAATTAGTTTATGAATTAATGATCCATCCTTAATCTTTACAATAGGTAAGGTAATGATCAATCAAATAATAATTCAGGAACAATAATGAGTGGATTTTTTGCCTTATGTCTTGGACAAACACGTGTCAACTATCGTGAGGGTCAAAAATTGATGACCATAGTTATTAATTCATTGGTTGGTATTAGTCAATTTTTTACCATTACATTTTTATTTGTTGGATGGTTTTGGTCAATGGCTTGGGGTGGTTTACTCATTATCTATTCAGGTAATTTCAAAGTTTCTTTTCTTTAAGTCTTCTAAAGTTTTTAAAGTTTCAAAGTTGAAATAACACATAAGTAATGAAATGCAACCTAAGAGAATTCATTCTTAAATTTGATCACTTTTTTTTTTTCTTTTTTAAATCGATTCACTATCAAATAAAAATCGATAACAATGGAGTACAATCAATATGTGTTCATTTTACAAATGATAATAAAAGCATAACTATAAATTACAAAATTTTCTTCATAAATCATTAAGTATATATTTGGACATCAACTGATGATTAACAGTTAAAAGAATTTCTTCATTTCAAGTAGTAATTCTTGCAAATATTCGAAAATATACTACTACTATTCGTGTTAATTATAATTTAGAAAAAAAAAGTCAAATTAATTCTACTAATCATACTTATTATAGTTTGAAAAATGCTAAACCATTAACTGTTAAAGTTACTTGCTTTTCTTTTTTTTTTTTTTTTTGCTATAACAATAAAGAGATAATTACAGTACAATATCGTGATGCACTACGTCAACGTCGTCAAGAAGCAATTGCAACAGCAGCATTGGAAGCATTAACTCGAGACTCAATTTTGCATCGTCGTGATGTGAAAACGCTGGTTACCGAGCATAAAGAAAAAACTGAAACAAAAAAGGATGGTGGAACAAGTGCATAGGTTATGATAACATATGACAACTGATAATTGTGCTAATGTTATCACAAAAAATTTCAATAATTTTCTTCAATTTACTGTTTGCATTAGTTTTAAATGTTCTAGCTAGCATTATATTGATGTGTTCTTGCTTAGATGATAAGATGAAATGAAATGACAGAATGGTATAAAAGCAGGAATATAATGAAATAAATATATAAACATTAAGGGAAATGTAATTAACCTCTCTTCAAAAATTAAAAAAAAAAAAAAAGGATTCCTTTTTAGAAATTATAGAATAGAGTTTAAGATTTCCAACCATAATTTTTTTTTTAAAAAAATATGTGTCAATCTATTTCTAAAACAAATTGAATTCCTCTATATTTTCCTATTTTGATTTTATCATTGCTACAAACACCTTTGATACATCGAAGGATGAATATTTGCGACAAATTTAGCATCTCATCGATAATATCGCTCAACTGCTTCCTAACAAAAATAAAAAGGAAAGAAAATGAAGTGTCAGATACAAAATGATTTTATCAGTGATGACATGAAAATCTTAATTTATAATAATTCTTAAAGAATTATTCCTAGTAATCTTATCAAGAATTCGTATAGGAAATTATCGTATACAATATACCAGAAAATGAAATATGAATCTTAATACTAACCATGATGGTCTCTTTAATTATATAACTTAATTATTTCAATTAAATGTACAAGGTATACTGTAAAAAGTAAACAGAGTGAAAGTATTCTTAACATCATCTGTTGTTATCAAATACTTCGAGATGAAATGTTTACTAATAAAATATGAAATTGAAAAATTTTTGCAACTAATTTTAAATTAACTCAACTATTCCTTATCGTTATCTTAGCCGACATTTTTTTTTTTTTTGAGAAAGAGAAAAGATCAGTACAAAATATAATCAAATCTTAACATATGTAATGATAATAATTTTCCATTGTTGAAAAGTTAAGGTAAAAATAATATGAAATGAAATCTTTTTCTGTTAATGACTATAGTTATAGTGAATTTTTTGTTTTTTTTAATGCTTAATTTAACAAACCTTTTGCTCTAGCAATCAAATCACATTGATTTACTCAACAAATACACATCAATAATACATTTAAAATAATCAGCGTAGTAAAATTAATACTGCCATTGCATATGTAAACACTAATCGGACAAATCCAAGTCCGATGAGATGATAATAATTTCCATTAATTAAGATTTGTATTAATCTATACTAATTAATGTAACAGGAATACTTTAAAAAGTAAAATTCAATATTGCATAAAATTTGGATCATCATAATTGTTTGTAACCAGGTTATTATGCACAGGTTTTTTGCATCCAGAAAAAAAATAGACATTTTGTAATAAAGTATAATTAGTGTGAGAGTATACACATATCTTACAGATATAACTGTTATCAATTGGTTAATTTAAAATATTTCAATACTTAAAATTGTTTGCTAAATACTGCAATTTATTAATTCATCAATGTAGTTCTCATATTTCAAAATTCACAATCAACAAAAATTTAGCAGATTTTTCAGTTTTTTTTCATTCTCAATTTCTCTTTTAATTTAATTTCATTCACAACTTCATATTAAGGTAAGTTCATTTAAAAGAAAAAAGGTAAGTGTTAATCAATTTTTTCATACATTAAAACGATATATTGCCGTTTCTTCTCGATAATAATATTAGTGATACTGGAATAATATGCATAGGTTTTTGGAATCCAGCATTTTATGCATACATTTATCACCGATAATCTATTAAAAACTAATCACTTTTTCTGGAAATCGAAAAATAAAAAATGCCCATGGAGCTGTCCCATACCTTTTTTCTTTTTCTTTTTTCCTAAATTAAAAATTGTATTAAAAAATTTCTGATATTTTCGGGATTTAAAATTCTTACATTCATGAAAATTTCACTGTACTAGCACCTGTTAATATGTGATTTGCTATTGTCGATAAGTCATCAAGTAAATGGGATACGGTAAAGTATACCACTTGAATTGAAAGTAATCCGAGAAACTTGTTTCAAGTTAGCCTTCCCACGTATAGCACGTACACATATACCTGATATGCAATAATAACACCGACTTTTAATACATCGAAAAAATCAGCCGAAAAGTCATGGATCTCTTAGATGCAATGGAAGAGAAATTACGGATGATACTTGAATCATAATAAACTCAAACCATAAAATTTGTGGGTTTAAATAATTAATTTTATGGGATTTCATTATGGCCACTCTTACAACTTTCTAACTTGTTAAAAGTAGTATAGATGAGTGGTGATAGTTTGAAGATAAAATAACAGAGAAGTAAGGTGAGTGAGTGAGTGACCACAGGTCGAATGTCGATTCGAATTTCTCTGACTAATTAACTCAGACATCCGATTCGACGATTCGTTCTTTGGTCATTCTATCCGGCACATCAACATCATCTTACTGCTAATATGCTTATATAGTGGTAGTAGTATAGTAGTAGTAGTAATAATAATTCATCCATTCATTCAGACCATTTCAGCGTTTACTTTTGGGAAATCAAAAGTTCCAAGATCATCCTGAAAATCTCTGCTAAAATAGGACATCTTGACAATTATGATAATAAACTACTATACAACAACTCTACTAGAATAGACAACAAAATAATGAAGAAAACTTTGTGACAATTTAACAAGACAACATTAGAATAAATCAAAAGAAAAACAACATGATTATTTTCGAATAAATCATTTATCCAATTGGAGTTGTTAAATCAGAATCACGAAATATTATAATTCACAAAATTTTGAAGCTCATGATTACTTCATTTGGTAGTGACAAATTATCTCATGTGATAATGATATGAGAGACACCGCGGCCCCTCCAAACAAAAAATCATTTGATAAAGATGAAAAAAGAAGACCGGAAACCACTCATTTGATCGATTTTGAACAGGGATGGAAAAAAAATGGGTCTAATTCTTGCAATCATTCTAAAATTGCTTAACATTTAATTTCCATTCATTTTTTTTTATCCATTATACCTAATATTAGTTTCATTTCTTACTGCAAAAGAATATATTGCGTTACTCGTTGTTTCTTTTTCTTTTTTTTTCAAGAAAACAAACAAAACACTAAAAAATCTGCAATAGTTAGAAAAGCATACAATATAATTCTTTCATTAATTTAATAATTAAACGTAACCATGTAAATCATCTAAGCTAACAATATAAATTTTTATTTATTATAGCTAGATAACTGATACTGTAATATATTAACAATTAATTAATCAATTCCTAATTAATTAATATTTTTTTGAATGAATTACTTCCCGGTTGTATTAAACTTTATATTATTGATATGCAATAATATCATGAATAATTGTAGCAATAATTGTAATCGTAATAATTATCATAATCATAACAACAATCATAATAACTATGATAAGCAAACAGAACTGTAATCATAATCTATCGATAATAATACAAGCAAGAAAATCTATGAATCACAAGCAACGATTAGATAGCACGCATCGAACCACAACCAACACACATTTGCGCAACCAGTCAATTCTTCTTGTTCGGATTTTTTTTTTTTTTTTTTTTGAATAAAAGAAGACACAGACGGGTGAAGATAACGTACAAAGACCCGGTGAGGAGGGTTGTAGGATAACATCCTCGGGATAGTAGGGTACTGGGAGGGGAAAAAAAAAAAGAGGAATGGTAAGAGAGGAGCTGAAAGAAAATAAGATAGAGAGGTTAGTGATAGGATTGGTTTGAATTGAAGAATGAAAAAAAAAAAAACTAAAAAAAAAAAAAAAGAGGGAAATAGGGCAATTGTTGTGAGGAATTGGTAATAGGTAAGAGGATTTTTTTTTTTTTTTCTCTTTTTATCATTCTTTCCCTTTTTTCCTCCTCTTCTATCTTACTTCTCTATCATTACTTAAGTTTACATTATATTTGAATTTTATACATATACGGATTAAAGCTTACAACATTAATTTTAACAATGATCAAGGATCGTTAAATTGGTAACCGGATAGCATACAAAAACCCACCACTTGTAAACCATCATCGTCATCATTATCATCATCATTCCCTCTTCTATCATTCGATTTGCACATTGGCGGGAGAAGCGGTCTTTGTTCCGTTTCTCTCTCTTTTTTTTTTTCTTTTTCTTTCCGTTCCGTTCCTTTGTTCAATATTGGAGCGGAGGAGATGGAGGAGGGAGGAGGAGGAGGAGAAGAATAGAGGAAAGGAATGGGATGATAGTAAGTAGTAGAAGGAGTGGTAGTAGTTATAGTAAGGAGGTTTGATCAGGACAAATGGCAAGGGACAGGACAGGGAAGGGACAAGGGACAAGGAAAAAGGAAGAAAGGTCGCTTTTTACAATTCTTTTTCCTTCTCCTCAACCGGATCTATGTTAGCGACCTTCATCATTACCATCAGAATTTAACCCCCCTCTACTCCTCAACCCCCTCATCTTTGCGGGACATCTTTTCCTCTTCTATCCTTTCCTATCATTTTGTTCCTTTTTCTACATAATGGTTAATTCTTAAATGCTTTTGTAAGAAACAGCTGGAATTTTGAGGAAAATTGGTCTTTTATGTTATAATTGAGATATTCGTTATAAAACAAACCAACAATTTTTACAAAACAATAATTTATAATATCATATATCAAATAAATCAATAATGGGATTGATATAAATAAAAAGAGTTTGTCTGCCTATTCATGAAGAAATCACAATAGGTATCAAATTTGTAGGAAATGCAAAAAGTTACTCTAAATATTATCAGATATAACATCGATTATATAAAAAATTTTAAGTTAGTGAATTACAAATTTGTTTGATTGGGACTCTTAGCAATTGTGCATAAATGCGACAATTATGAATATGACAAATGGCTACATAATTTAATTCAAAAAAAAAAAAAAAAGATGTGGAAGTTAAGGTGATCGCTTCATCTAATATCAGGCATTGCTACTTTTTATGGAAAAGAATGATGATGTGACACAGTTTATTGTCCACTACATACATACAGGCAGACACATACATCGACATACATACCCAAACACACATACAAAAATTCGTATCCTCAAAACGTCGAAATTTGAAATGATGAGAAGAGGATAGCACTCCCTCGTACGTAAATCCTTTGTATATATAACGACCCTATCAACAGTGAGTATAATACAATTTGCATAAAACAGTTTGAAGAAAAAAAAAAAAAACGGAAGAAAAAAAATTAGAAAAGGCAAAGAATGCATGTGATTTTCTATATAGCATATCATGGTGTTTGGTCATTTCTCTTCCTCTTACCATTTAAAACAAAAAGAAAAAAGAAGCAAATTTCCAAAAATCATTTTATAGCATAATAACTTAACAGTTTTGCACTAATTCTGCAATTTCAAAATAAGCAGCAACAATGAAATTGTCCTCTGTCATTTGCACTAAAGTTAAATATTCAACACGAACTGGGATCAAAGTTAATAATTATGGGTGTGGTCTGAATGCAGAACAGAATCAACTACGAACATGAATCTGTGTTGGGGCCTGGAGCCAACTGCGATTATCAACACGTTCAGGCTCGCTGTGAACGTGAATTCAGATCGTAGTTAGCCATGAACACGAATAAGGACTGGAGTCAACAATAAACATGATATGGGTTCAGAGTTAGCTATCGAAATTAAATGAAGTTGGAATTCACTTCAGGCATAAATGTGAATTGTAGCCAACTATAAAGATCAACTTTGTGTTGAAGTTAACATGAATTATGTACGTGAGTTTTTATTACATTTAACTATGAACATGGACAATTTGAATATGAAATGTAATATTTAGATGGAAAAGAAATGACATCGTGATAAAATGCCATGACCAAATTTCAACTCTGTTAGAAAAAAATATTGCTTACTCAAGTGCTGATTTTAATCTTACTCCAACATGGAGAAAAGTTATAGTTTGGGAAATGAATATTCGGTTAATATAAAATGTTAGTAGTTCTACACCCTAAATTTATGCCTTACAAAGGTGGAAAAAAAAAATAGATTGATACAAGAAAAAAATTCCGAGAAAAGAAGGATTAGAAAATGAGTGATGTGAACAAATCGTATTACTGTATAAAAATTAGTAAAATGTTCATTTTGGCAAATAAAAAAGGAAAGTCAATAACTCAGGTATCGGTTTGATTTACCTTTAACCTCATTCTTTCCATGATATTCGTTTGCAAAAGATGACGATGAAAAGTTTTTGCTCATGAAATATCGAGAATTTTTTTTTTCTTCTCTTTTTCATTTTGAGGGGCAAAAATGAGAAGCAACTAGAAAAAAAAAAAAAAAAAAACGACATACAATGAAAAAAAAAAAGGAATAAATAAATTCATTCCATCTTTTCCTGATCGTTATCTGTTTGGGGATAGATGTATAGCAAAAATGCTACAGAAACACCACTTTTAACCGAGGTCATCTTAAGATTTTTCCCTTTTTTTTTTTTTTTTTTAGCATCGATAGGGAGATATCAATTGATAGGAATTTTTTTTACTGATTAGAGAGTAAATATAATAATATCAAATAATATTATCAATTAATTTAAATGTATAGAAATGAATATATACATATACATGCATAAATAGCCATAATCATGCAATGTTAAAGAAATGTAAAAAAAAAATTATATATAAAATTTAGGTTAGATTGACAGATCGGAAAGTTCATCTGAGTTATTAATCATTATTTAACAAGATTGACATTACATTACATATGTTGGTTAATCAATTTCGCTATAATTTAACAATACATGAATATATTTGGCAACATTAAAATTTTGATTATATTCTTTTCTATTTAATTAATTTCATTTCCAATTTCATTCATAAATTGCAGACTTGATTTGGAAATTTATCATTGTTTCTTACTGATGATTAGAAGTATATAAATGTTACTATTTAGCTTCTTATTTTTTAAATTTAATTATACCCATCCAATGTGCAAATACATATTATACATAATGGCCTAATGATATGAATGAAAATTATCGCTACACAAGCAACTTTCTTTCGCAAACAAATATGATTCCAAATCAATGTCAACTTTAACATTCCATAAAATCATGATAGAAAAAAAAAAAAAAAATGCCCACTTAACAATGTATAAAAGTTTTAAAAACTGTCCTATTTTCTATCAAATCCTTATTCTCTTCTTCCTCTTCAACTTTCATAGTATACCAAACAAACAGTAATTAGTTTATCTGAGGCAAAAGAGAATAAAGAAAAGCGAATCAAATTTTTGCTACGTTACATAAATTTTGTGTGTACTGGCAATGTGGTACACATGAAATTGCAACGTATCTTAATTTTATTTTGTACATCATTCCAGACTATAATATATTGGAAGTATATTGATAACAATTAATGATAAACAATAAAGAATCTTTTGGTTTACTGGATATTACCAGTGATAAAACGTGAACTGCAAAGACATTCTAGCTATCAGAGATCAACATCAGTTTAAAACTGTAAAACTACTTTGACCATGCTTATTAATCTTTAAGTGATAGCTTTCAGAGGACTTTCTATAGATTAAAAACCGGATCCATAAACAAGGAAAACACACATTTATACTGCTTCATCATCAGTATTAATTCTGATCTTGACCTTAAGAGATAAGTATATGGATTATGGTACTGATGTCTTGTTGCGGTATACACTTTCCTTGTATCAAAAAATTAAGACATTAACAAAGCTGAAGTCCATAATAAGCTAAAGGTGCATTCTGCAAAATTTGGCACATTCTGGAAATGATTTTATATACACAATACATAGCAATCATACACTCGTGTTAGTATAAGAGGAATCTAATAAAGAATGTTTTTTCTTTCACTTACGTGAAAACATAAAGTATACATCGTAATTAGTCAGCAATAAGAAGCAATCGATATGCATGTAAAAACATTTCATTTGATGAAACTGTTTACAATAATCTCACAGCACATAGTGGAATTATATTACAGTAGCAATCAGGAAGATTTTCGGTATTAATTTCATCCTAAGCTTATCGGTATAAGCACACCAATCAAAATTTATGAAAGAGCAATCAGATAGCCAATAAATGCATACTATTCCCATTTGTAATACCTTTTTCTTCTTCGAGTGAACAAAATGTAAAAAACACCATGCTAAACTCTGGACCCACCGAAAAACGTTATAACACATTGAGCAAACACAGTCAAGAAAATAAGCATCTATTCTAGATAAATAAAAATTTCAGTTATCCCTGGCTCTATGAGATTCCAAATCTGAAAAGGATGGTTTCCGAAATTATTCGGAGAAATAACGCCGTTTTAGTTTTATAAATTACAAGCATGTTTACAGCGATGCACATACTGCACTTGTTTTCAATGTCGACTTGCTGCCCCAAACCCATTTTCCACATTTGTCCTCCGTTCTGGATGCAGCATGAGTAGCTTTTCCTCAAGAGCCTGTAAGCACCTTGCAGAAAACTAACTTTGAACTAAAAAGAGTGAAGTTTCGTAGATCTGAATTAATCAAATTTACCTGAATTGTTTCAAGAAGGTTGACGATGACTGGTGAAACACTACTTGCTAATGAAGGAGGTAAGGAATTCACACGTGACCCAATGCCATTCGAACTTGCATCGCTGAATAATTTTTTCCTATTAACATCTTGTGCACAAAGATCATAATCTGTAACAGAATAAAACTGTTGAGTTTATCAAATTTGAGGAATTTCTCATCTCCTTCTCGGATGAACAAAATTTAGTGAAAGGAAAACTTTTTTGACTTATCGAACAGAAAAACTAATTCAGCTAATTGAAATTAATTGGAAATCCATACAAGTGTCAATAAAAAAAAAGTGCAAAAAAACGTACTTTCACACGAAGTGAGACCATTTTTTACTGATCTTCCAGGCTGTAATGTTCCATTATTCTGTCGTCCTACAATTTAAATTCATTAATGCCCTCAATTTATACCAGTTGTTCCACTGAACAAGTTACGAGCCGTATAATACAATTTCAGGATCTCAAGAACCGTTCATTCATCAAATGTAGTTTGTTACCTGAGAAATGTTAATCAAAAAATAGATGGGTATTACTAAAAAAATTGCGAGCACTACCAACAACCAAACTGTTTAAGTATCTTTGGAATCTATTACAAACAACCTAAAGTATTGATTTCAATTCACGAAAAAAAAAAAATATTAATTTTTGTTTTCCGAAACCTATCAACTGTTTCCCAGATCACAATGAAGTTCCTGACCAGATTTTATCGGATCTTTGAAAAAAAAAAACACGATGTGCTTAATTAAAGTTACCGCGACAAAATGAAATTTTTACCATTTTTCATCTGAATTAAATTCCCGGAACTATGGTTCTCCTGAGTAACAGGCGATCCATTAGACTGATTAGAAAGTGAGTTGGACAGTTTTGTATCTTTTATCATGCCATCTAATTTTAAATCTCGAACTTCATCTTCTAGTCTCTGACAACGGATCTGCAACGAATAGCATATGATATTCGATTTGTATCTCCCGCGCGATGAAATCGTTGATTGAACATGGTTTTTTGTAGAATTTTTGTACATGTTCACGAAATGAACCATCTACTCCTGGCTCAATGGTTTGAAAAGTCTATTCTACTAACCAACATGTAACAATCTTAGCATACTCAATAAAACGCCTTATTATCCCCTCCTCTAGCTTATCTAATATGCATTTGTTGCTACTGTCACGCTCAACAAGCCTAAGTCTTTGGAAATCAGATAACCTGGATGAGCTTACCTTTAGGTCTTCTTTACTATCAAGTTCTGTAATAAGCAACGCTCGCATCTCTAATTCTTCGTTTAACTTTCTTTCAGTGTCCTTGAGAGTCTCACATGTTATTCTGAAAGAAGTGATACCAAAGAGCTAAAAACGTATCTGTTGGCTAAAGAATTTTGAAGGTTTCAAGAGAATGGACTATATATTGCACTGTCATTACCAAACAATTCATTGACAACGAAATAAACCAGGATATCAGGAATGAATTATATACCTCAATTCTCTCTCTAAATCATCGTTTTTTTGCTCAAGTTTATGGACAGCATTTAATAAATTTTCTTTTTCAGCTCTAAGTTCTTGTAATTCGTCGTTAAGTTTCATATCCTTGCTATACTGTTCCGCACGGAACCGTTGAATTTCCTCCTGAAAAAAGTGCTATAACTTCAAAGACAACAACAGGAAACCTAACCATTAAGTCCTTCAACAGTAACATCCGTACAATAATATCCCAACTGCACTAAAATTTTATGAATTGTGTAGTGCCTGCATTACAGAAATTAGTGTTGAGACAGCTACATTTCTATAATAGCTCCTTCAAATATGGCTGAGACGTTAGGTATAACAAATATGCCGACAAGATGTCGAATCTATGTACATCTATTTTAAGTAATCAAAAACGAACCTTATATCGATCTCGCTCTTGTATCAAAACTGCAATTTCCTTTTCACGTTTACTTAACGACAAGTTAGCTGCATTCAATTCCTTATCCAGCTCGGTTTCAATCTGTTGACTAAACGTTACAAAGTCTTTCAGTTCATTTTTTGCTTCGTTCGCTCTGAAATTTTGTTTCAGTCACACTATATCATGGTACCAGTATTCAGATTTCATTCTTTAGTATTCAAATTAACGTACTATTATTCCATTTATCTTTGAAAATGAATAGTTTACTCTTGTTTGTATCGTTCCGCTTCAGCACGATATTGCTCGACCAACATCTCCCAATCCGTCATTGAAATAAATCCTTCTTTTTTTTTTAGTTCCTTCACTTATTACCTATAAAGAAAACTCCCTAATGACTAAACATAACCTTCGCAACCACTGAATTATCCCACGGGGTCTTCTATCAAACTGTTACTTTAACTAGAAGGAGGTAATGGGAAAAACAATTGCCCTAATTGAAATCACAGAAAATTGTTAGCATCTATAACATTACCATTTCGATCATTTCCTTAAATACTATGCGTCAACTGGGGCAAAAATCAATATTGCATTCTTTTCCTATATTTAAACACAAATCACTGCTAATCATCTGATACTCCTAAGTTGAAAAATATTGAAACAGATGTGAACTAAAGCATACTGCAAATAACCATGATTATCTGAAGTTTACAAAAAAAGATTCCAAAGACTATATACTAAAATACTAATCAATCATTTGATGTATGTGCCTTATAACAATAATATGTAAGCTTAAATCAGAAAATTTTTGCTTACCAATTAGTAATTCTCCACTTTATTGTTATATCAAAGACCTATAAATATATAAGGATGTAACACAGCATAAATGTTATAATCCGATATATAATAACCGTGTAACATATGAGATGACTTAGTTCAATCATTTGTGCTTCCAATAAGTTTTGTTAAAATTACAGAATATAAGTGAAACTTTTATCATATTTATTTTAAAAACCAGAACTAAAACAATAATTTGGCCATATCATCCAAAATTCATCACATTACACCTGTCCATCCAATGGTTGAAAACCAAACTAGCAGCAAAGCACTAACCGACCAGTCAGATGGAACGCTAAATCACCAACCAACAATTCAAACCAACATTTATGTCACTCCTTCATTCTTATGTTAAAGTCGACAAGCATGCAGCGGAAGTTCATCTTTATTTGTTTGTTTATTTGTGGTCGGTTTGAAATGCTATCCGCTATAAAGAAGGAAAAGAACGAGTGGGTTGTCTTGTTTTTTAATTTGTTTATGTAGCTATGATATCATCAAATTTATGTGATTATATTGCAATTATGTTATCAGGGAAAGCTATAGTTTATCCAGATAAAGAGAAAGAAATTCCTGGATGATTAGATAATACGATCATTTCGGGAAATATCAGTGGATGATGAAGTAAGCATAATTCAAATATCTTCAAAGTTCTGAACTTATATATATATATATATATTCTTATAGAACTATTATAGTTAACATTTGGATACACTTACTGTTATTTGAGCCGGATAAACTTTCAATTTTTTAAAGGTCATATTTTACAGTAGAAGAGTTATGAGTGATATTCGTTGAATGATGATCGCAAAAGTGGTAAACTAGACGATGACATAGGATAAAACCATCCTGAGACTGAAATCCATTCCTAAGCTTAAATGTAAACTTCAGCAGGTTCAGAATATGTATAGACTTTCGTCCATTTATTGTTAACACTGAGCTAACAGAGAATAGACAGGAATTGCTTCTGTCCTTTTTTTTTTTTTTTAAAGAAGTCTTCTTTGCCTTCTTTATTTCTGTAATAAATGAATACCATATTCTTGTACAGCATGGTATAGTTGTGCCCTGGAATTAGATTAGACGCTACCTACATTTATGGAAAATCATTGTTGGCAGTCGTTGTTTTCCTCTTTTAAAGTGGTAAACAGTATAACGAGAGCATTTCATCACGCCAAAACATGATTTAACTGATTTAGTTTCATATCGTCAAATTTGTATACTGTTTTGTGTTTTCAATTTTCTACTTTTGCTAATTTTATTGTTTTGTTTTATTACAATTATTCAATTATTACAATATTACAATTATACAATTATTACGTTTATTACAATTATACAATTATTACAGTTAGTAGATATCATTGATGATAATGGTACGATACATCAGTACAAAATCAAAGGCGTTCTTGTTAGTAAAAGTATTACTCAAAAATGAAAGAAAGCGGTACTGCGATATTAAGGCTTCTATTCACTAATCGTATAAAATACAGTGGACTTTTTTCAGGTTGGCATAAAAGCAGTTTCTACGACGACATGCAAGCAATTAAATGTGTCGTCGTCGGAGACGGGTGAGGTCCTCAAGAATTTTTGTTGTGTAGAACGGTAAGGAAGTTTATAGAGAGTGAGCTAGATCAGCTACTGTTAAGTAAGGTTTGTGAAGATGGGAGAGAGTGCTGATTTTTTATAACTGAATGTGAAATTTTAGGCAAGTAGTCATTTTTTAGTGCAAAGTTATTTTTAAACTATAATTTTTATAATTTAAATTGGAGGTAGCAAATGACAGTGATTCATTGTTGGGTAATGAGGAATAGCAATTTGGGAGTATTGTTAGACACAATTTGTTTCAAGCTGTTTGTGAATGGTTTAATTGTTTGAAATACTCTATCCGACCAAAAATTTATTTATTAAGCTGCCCTCCATGTGTATATTCTGATCTTGCAGTGCCGTGGGTAAAACGTGCCTTCTAATCAGTTACACCACAAATGCTTTTCCGGGCGAATATATTCCGACAGTTTTCGATAATTATTCAGCCAATGTTATGGTCGATGGGAAACCAATCAATTTGGGTTTGTGGGATACTGCCGGTCAGGAAGATTACGATAGATTACGACCACTCAGTTATCCACAAACCGTGAGCGAACCGTTGATTTTACAATTTGGCTTTCACTTTTTTTCAGCAATTACTTGTGTCATGATAACTTGAAATTTAATTAAAAAGGTAAGAGTGGTTTCATCTTTGACGTAGATCCGTTGGGTTCTTTAGAACTCTATGTTGTAGTCATTTTAAAGGTTTTTTTTTACGTAATATTCTATCCCTTTTGCTTAATTTTTACTTCAGTAAGCTATTTCAGGATGTTTTTTTAATATGCTTTTCACTGGTTAATCCGGCCTCTTTCGAAAATGTGCGTGCGAAGTGGTATCCCGAAGTTTCTCACCATTGCCCAAATGCACCAATCATACTGGTGGGAACAAAATTGGACCTAAGGGAAGATAACGAAACCGTTGAAAGACTTCGTGATAGGCATTTAGCTCCGATTAGTTATTTGCAAGGATTGTCAATGTCGAAAGAAATTAGTATGTTCTTTAATCGGAAAGATTCGTGTCTGTTTCTTTACAAGATGAAAGTATTCGGATTAAAGTAAAAAAATAATTTGATAGGAGGGTCATGAGCCTTCGTCCAGAGTTCTAAACATAGATGTGTCGAATTTCTGGTGCTGTCAATGTCAGGAGACATGTTGCAAGTTAGACAAGTTGGAAACCCTGCTTCTGTTTCAAGTGGCAGTTCATTAGGCTTTTCAAATAGATTATTTTATAAAATAATATTTGACAGATGCTGTGAAGTACTTGGAATGTTCAGCATTATCGCAAAAAGGATTGAAACAGGTGTTTGATGAAGCCATTCGAGCTGTTCTAATTCCTCCACCGAAACCTAAGCGGTCAAGGAAATGTACAATACTTTGACCTTGGAAAAATGGCGAGCTTGCAAGACGATTTTTATACGTTCATCGGTGGCCAATTACTTACCATAATGAAGAACGAACTGATTTTGCACATACAATACTAATAATGTTGTGTAGAAGATTATTGTGATACTTTATCATCTACTAACATGTGTATGTTGTACGGTAACAATTTTCTTGAAATTAATAAGAGGAAGGCCATATTGCAAAATATCAACATTTGAACAAGTATTTTGTCCTTTTTTCCACCTAAAAAGTTATCTTCTTTATCCGTTTCTTTCGTAGTTGTTTATTTGTGCGCAGAATTTAGAATCCTTAAGTTTTATAAAATGTAGCATCTTTTTCATATTACGTAAGTAGGAAATTTAGCTTACATAATTATTACACTCGTTCATTCAGTTTCCAAAGTCTAAATAACATTGATGCGCAGGAATCAGTAGAGATTAGACCGCCCTATAACAATTATGCCACCACCAGGAAGCACTTTTCCTTTTTAATTCAACGAATTGTTATCATAGAAATATGAATTTATTGTTCGTTTCGTCGTGCTACATTCATTTAATTTATTGTAACAGGTAGCAAGAAATATGTTTTATTGCTGAAGTTCCTTTTAGATAATTATGGTTCCAACTTTTTCTTCTTGAAACTGTGTTAGGGTTTTCACTTATTGTTTCCCCACAATTTAGATCTTTTTTGAGCAGTTGAGAGTTGAGACTGAAATGATGCATATTTTTTACTTCCAAATGTTTTAGAAGTAATAAAAATCGTAGAAAGGAGACGGAAACAAAACCTGCATCAGGAGTTTTTCCAAAGTTCTGAGTTGGTTAATTGGTTTTTAAGTTTTTGATTTTAGGAAGAAAATATGCAGTATTTTCCCTGAACAAAGTAGTTGTTGGTTTTTTTCGTATTGCTTGCAGTTATTTTATTGTTTATTATTGGTTGTGGAAATATGCTGATGTGGCAACTGACTTGGTAATGTGTTTGCTTGTATGTGGATGTACGTTTTTACATCCATATCTGTGTTTGGTTTAGCCATTATTTGGTTTATATTACTGGATGTGCACTCGTCATTTACATCATCATTCATTATTATAAGATTAGTATTTAAATTGTTCCTTGGAAATTTCGCTATCATTATTTCTTATCTCCTCCTGCCAAATTAACCAAATAGCAGATTTCATTATATGGTTGCATTTTGCTTCTCAATTCACGGTTGCTGCTTTCCCTTTTCCATTCTTTTCCATTTTATGAGAAGTAAATTTGCATAATTTTAAATGGAAGTCCTCTCTCTTCTCTGCGAAAGTTTTTGAAACGTAGTATCTTTTTTCTTTTTTTTTTTTTTTAAGTTTTCAATTGTCCTTTAATTGTATCAGTCATATAGTGCCTCTGTTTTTAACATCTTGTCGACGAAGAAAAAGCAAGAGAAATGCTTTGTATGAAGTTTAAGAAAAATGCTTGTTCTTAATGTTTATTCCATTGTTTTCCTTTCCTTTTGTATATTACATTTTATTTGATTTTAAAGATGCACCCAATCTTTGATT